CAGTCATGTGGCAGGGAGTTGAATGCCTTCTTGTAATCAATCCAAGCTACATTCAGGTTGGTCTTCCTTCTCTAGCAGTTTTCCAAAATCACCTTGTCAGTCAGTTAGGAGCTGATCTTTTGTCCTTCTGCTGTTTGGGCAGTTTCCTTTCTGCTCAGATGGAAAGAGCTTGTTTTCAACTAGATGCTGTTGGACTGCACTAGCTACCACACCAGTTAGCAATCTGAAAGTTGTTGGTAAACAGGTAATTGGCCTGTAGTTGCCTGGTGCTGCCCCTTTTGCTGGATCTTTCATTAAGAGGATGGCAGAGGATGAGATGGTTAGATAGCATCACTGAAGCAATGAGCATGAAACTGAGCAAACTCAGGGAGGCAGTGAAGGACAGGAAGGCCTGGTGCGATATGGTTCATGGGGTCATGAAGAGTTGGACACGACTTAACAACTGAACAACAACAACAACAAAACCAATGCGATATGGTTCATGGGGTCATGAAGAGTTGGACACGACTTAACAACTGAACAACAACAACAACAAAACCAATGCGATATGGTTCATGGGGTCATGAAGAGTTGGACACGACTTAACAACTGAACAACAACAACAACAAAACCAATCTTCAATTTCACCTCCTTGCAGTATGTTAAACTGCTTGGCAGTGAGTGGGTGCAGGGTAGTCAGATGTTTTAACCAAAAACCATGCAGTTCATCTTCACCTGGTGCTGACTAATTCTTGATCTTCCTTGCCCTTTTCTCTACCATTTCTGCTGTTATTACAAGTTCTTTCACTTCAGCTTCTTTTTTATTCTTACCCACCTCCTTTATCCAAGCTGAATTCTTGTTGTATTTCTTTGGGTTGTCCCATAGCTGCGCTCAGAACTTCACTGTTTTTTCTTTGTCAAGTGTTCATTGCAGTCTCTTCATTGATGGATTGGTAGAAACGTTTCTGATTGGACTGAAATTGGAGATTCTGCCTGTAGTGTGCAATTCAAGCTTCGTATCTGCTGATTTGCTTGGCTATGGCAGTTATTTGCTGCTTTATTATTTCCAGTGCTTCCTTGATCTTCCTTGTTTCTAGGGGATTTTTCTTGATTAGGTATTCTTTGGTCTTCTTGTTCTTCTGCTTCTTTTCTTTCATCTGTTCTAGCTTGCTTGCATCTGATCTTAGCATGCTGACCTTATTTTCAACCTATCTCCCATTTTGGTGGTGCACTGTTTGGCTTTTTGTCTTGTTTGTTGATTTTGCATCCCAGGTATTCAGTTATAACTGCAACCGTGCTGTAGATTAGTTGGTTTTTTGTAGTGAGCTAGTACTTATATTTGATATTACAGTATTGGCATCATTTAATACTTGTACTAGCTGTTTCTTTGTACAAGTTTCAATGCAAGCAACCTTATTCTGTTCTTTTTGTGCTATTCTAGATGCTCAGTTATTCTTTGTTTCAATTCCTCTTGTTTTTTTAGTTAGAAGGGTTTGTTCTTTCTGAGGAGAAGGCAGAGGAGAAGGTGCCTGGTTTGGGAATGAGAACTATTTAATACCGATGATGGCTTCCTCTTCTACCAGTTCCCCCTGGATTGTCTCTACTGTCTGAGCTACTTCCGGCAAGGCTTCGATTCCTTTGCCCTGGGTAGACCTTTGCAGTTCTTCCAATTCTACTTCTGTGAATATTTTATTTCATGTTATAAATCAACGTTGATCTGCTATCCTCTGTTTTGTTATTTCTAATTCTGGATGTCATTCTTTCCAGAAGTGGTGCATTCTTTTCAGATTCTTCTCATTGGACTTGATTTGTAATAGCAGATCATTATTTCTTTGTTTTCAGTTTTTGTATATTTATATAAACAACTTTTCTTCCAGTAGTTCTGCAGCTGC